ATTTTTTCACCATGTACAATCTAAATAGCTAATATACTTTTTTAAAAGCCAATAAGAACATTGGTAGAATTCTTCTACATAAGTACAATACTATGTCTTTGATGATAAAATACTATGTCTTTGATGATAATATATTATGTCTTTGTGCTAGAACATTGTGTTCATTGGCGAGCGAGCGCAGCGAGCCATGGTTCACGGCGTGAACCACATAGGATAACGCAGCAATTCTCGGGGGTTGGAGAGAGCTAGCGAGCAGGGGGCGGAGCCTCCTAGTTATGTAGAATTGATGAGAGGGAAAACCTGTCAAAGGAAGTGTTAAAATTTACCCACTGTTCATAAAGCAATATAAAATTGCAAAATCACATAAATTTAATGTTTTTTGCAAAAGATAGTAAATTGGTACATTGATTTCTAAAAATGTCCATGAAATAGCCAATTTTTATTTTAAATAATTGCTTAAATATTTCTTTAGATGCATCATCTTGCACTATAAATTATCAGTAAAATAAAACTCCACGTGACAGTTAAGCGGAAGCATTAAAATGCAGGATTACAGTTTTTTGTAGCTATTAGCTGATATCAGAACAAGAGAGCTATCGATGGGGAGAAAATGAATAATTCCATAGGCTTGTTTAAAACAATTTATGTATGACTTAAAACATATAATTAGCTCATATTTGTTGTACATGTATTGCTGATAAAATATATAGCCATATATAGCTAATGATGTAGAGTTTGAAATGAATTTGATTTGTTCCATACGTGTAGTTTTAAATTACTTTTACATGAAAATCATAAAAAAATTTAACTGACATACATTTTTAACACTATTATAAATATTTTATTATAAATATTTTATTATAAATATTTTATTATAAATATTTCATTATAAATGTTATTAATAATATTATTATTATAATCTATTGTTACAATACATCATAGAAACAATCAATTATTAGGCTTATAATATGTGATAGGTCAAAGTAAACGGCTAAAACTATTAAAATTACTAATTCTATTAAAATCGCTAATTCTGAAAGCATTTTTCTCAACTACATAGACGCATCAGGCATTATTTTGTTTTATTTATTTATTTATTTTTATTTTAGTTTTTTTTCCTTTTATTATTTTTATTTTATTTACTTTTTTGGGGAAGAATATCGACAAAGATGCGATTTTATGCATCACAATCAGAAATATATAAGTAAATCTGTCATTCGTATGGTACAAAAGCTTTAAATTTTAATCTAATTTTACCAAAGTTTCGAGTACATTTTCATATTTTAATTATCATATTTCATAAACAAATTACGTAAACAATTCAAATGTTAAAAAGATATTATACACATTTCAACTGTTTTTCACCCGTAACAGAATAAAAACTGTTGTTTCTTACAATAGTTATGTCTGCTCAGTGCTACCAGGTTCCATTACGTTTGAATAAAATATTATGGCGATAAGGCTCTTTTTTGAAGCTTTTTATTAAATTAATTTACTAATATTTCCTGTGGTATGGCGTTCTCTTGAGCATTATTTCCTGTGGTATGGCGTTCTCTTAAGCAATATTTCCTGTGGTATGGCGTTCTCTTAAGCAATTTTTAGCAGTTTGGAAATTGTGAAACGTTAAATATACTAACCATAAAATACCACTTTCACCCAATATTTTTAAAGTGATATCACACAAATATTTTTTTTTAATTAATTTTAAATTTCTTATCTTCAAAAAAAATTTTAATTAAAACCAAACAAAACAAAAATTTTAATTAAAACCAGAAAGTCACATAAAGCACAGATAATTTTGCGAAGTAGGGTAAATAAATATTATTAATAATGATAATTGTTTAAATCAGATTTAATTGGTTACCTGTAAGCAACGTCACGCTTGTGAGTGTCAAGCCTGGCTTCTGAATCGACAAATGTCACAATTTATCCACCATGACGTCACTTGCAGGTATCCAATTGCAAAATCAGACGAATTAAATTTTATGTTACATAGAGAATTAATGCGATAAGGTTAAATATTTTATTTATTAATGCATTTAACTAAATACAAAACAATGCTTTAAATGAATAAAGGACCTCCATGTCAGACAATGTAATTAAAATAAGAAAAAAATTATTTACTTAACCATGACAATTTGCTTGTAACAAATTCCAATGCCTTCTGCACACTTTCCTCCTTCGTAACATCGAGCTCTAAAATGTGTAGTCGCTCAGAACACTCTGACTTGAGTCTTGACATATCTGGAGCAATTGGATTCAAAACACTGGCAAATACGTGATACCCTTTGGAATCCAGATATTTTGCCAGATGAAATCCAAATCCAGTGTCACATCCTTCGAAATTAAGCATCATAAATTTAAAACAAAGAACGATGTCAAATTTTGAAAAGTGCCACAATTTATTTTTTTCTTCTTTAATATTTTGAAGGAAAAAAAATAATAATCCTGACATTTCGACTCAATAAAATCGGATTATCACGTATCAATTTGTATTTTTAATGGTCCAATAATAACTTACTAAATATGAATACCATTGTTAATGCTACCTAATGGTTAAGCTACGAAATCAGTTACATTACGTTTAACAAACATCAAGCGAATTCATTATAAAATTTAAAATAATAGTTTTTTTTTTCTAGAAAGCTCTTTAATCGATTTCATTAAAAGTTTTAATTTAGTCATTTAAAGTTGTTTAAGCAAACCAGTGCACATGTTTCAAGGTTTCTGGTTCAGTATTCATTGCAGGCCTCTTTAAAACTCAAAAACTGTATTTTTCGTATTATGTAGGCTACTTGTAAAAGCCTTTTTCAAACTGTAATTTACGTTTTGATTCTCGAAATATTAATTTTCATAAACATGCTAACTTCATAACTTCAAATTATTTTATCAGTGCATATTCTTGGAGTTAGCTAAATTAAGAATAAAATTCGCGAACATTTCAAACATATGTACTTAAAATGCCTGCAGATTTATCTTTATTAAATTAAAAAACATATCACTTTATTTAAAGCATTTCATTGGATAATTTGTTTAACTTTCATTTTTTGAAAAATGGCTGAAGATGAAGGGGTATTTGTCGTTGAACTTTAGTTTTGACATAGTACACAATACATTTAAGTCCTTTTTTGCATCCTACGCACCCACAAACCTTTACCTTTCTTGTCCTCAAGGTGGAAGAATTTTGTGACACTATTTTTACCCTTATATACCTTTATACACTCTATAACAAAAAAATCGACGCACCAAGAAGGAGTTGTCCGATTGAAACGAAAATTGGTGGATAGAACACGAGTGGAAATGCAACTA